ATTTTACTACTTTTCCCCCCCATATGCGAATAGAACCTAACTTGGAATCCAACTACCATGTAGTTGGTTCTCTATCTCTAATAACTTTTATTTTTTTGAGAAAAATATTATCTAAATTAATCATTTTTATAAAATTTTCTTATTTACTAACATGAAACCGGATAATGAAATTTTATAATTTGAAAGGAATCTATTACAATATTATGATAGATGTCATATTAACAACTAGGGATGTAATTGGTTTGGTATGATCGGTATTTAGGTAAAAAATTACACCGAACCGATAATGTTGATTTTATTATTTTGGACACCGATGCAGACTACTTCTCCTCAAACCGCACCGAACCGAAACCGATTGAAACGGTTCGGTTTGGTGTGGTTTAATCAGTTTAGGATTTTTCAAACTTGAGCCACTTTTAAATATAATCATTAATCTATATAAAAATATTAAATTAGTTATTATCTACTATTCAAACATATCCAATCCATCCATTTAATACCTACTTTTCAATTCCTAAATTAACAAAAAAAAAAAGAAAAAAAAAAGTTTGAAAATACTAAGGTTCCAAAAATAATGAGTTAGAGTTAAGATTATATATAATAAAAGTTTACAAAATTAGGTTATAAAGATGATAAGGTAAATTAATTAAGGTTAATAATTTATTATACTTATTAATATCATTATATAATTATATACATATATATATATATATTATAAATATAATATATATTGAAGGGTCGGTTTTGATTTAAATCGGTGCACAAGGTGCTTAAATCGATACCGAACCGAAAATAAAAAAAAATCAAATTTTAAAACAGCACAGACCGATTCTTGTTAAAAAACAGACCAAATATGGCCGATTTGATCCGGTTCAATCGGTTTGGTCGTTTTTTCAGTTTTTCTTACATCCCTATTAACAACAATAAAATAAAATAAAATAAAAAATAGTTATAAATTCAATATACATCATATGTGGTGCATTTTTAATTATATACAGGCATGTAATTAAAATAAGTTACTTTAAATAAATTTGTTGCTCCAACATATAATGAAATTAATTCGACATAGACTTCATGAACCCTAATTAATTTACTCGACAAATTGATATGGTGAACATATTTCAATTTTCTTTTATACTCTGGATGAAATATTTATATGTCCTCCGACTATTGGGGACTAATAAAGAACTCCCCATGGCGAGATCCAACGCATTGTGTAAGGTATATATAAAAGTGGGTCTTAGTCCTACACCTTGACTTGAAGATGGAAGGCATAGGTGGAACCAAAAATGTAAATTAATTTGCATTTGAATAGCTAGGCCTCTTTTTTTTTTGTTTTTTTCTTTCCTTTTTTATTTTTATTTATTCAAGAATTTCTAGGTCTTCGTAAGATACATTGGCGCCAACCACTTGAGACTAGGAAGTAGTAGTGACGACCTAGTGTGAGACTCAACCAATATATTTATTTATTGAGTAATATTTTATAAATTAATAGATTATATATATAAATATATATATTTAATTTTTTAATATAATAGTTATCATAACCGGATTTTGTTTTAGATTCTAAATTTTTATTATTACATGACATATTTAGTTAGGAAGAAAAAAATTTAAATTTAATTTAAATTTATTTATTTGTATGGTATTTTTCTTATTTATTTTGATGTGGCTTTAATGAGAGTATCTTTATGATCTACTCCTTTATTCTCTCTCTTTATATTTATTTAATTATTTTTTTTGAATAATTAATCAAGTTTTCTAATTTTAAAAAAAAAAAATCCTTATCTCATGACAATGGTGTGGCACTAGTAATTACTTTCACTCCTTGTTCTGGAACTGAAATGACGAAGATGAAGAAGGAAGACTGAGGATCTAGAGGTGGATTGGGGGGGTATGAATATCGTGAATCGTGATGAATGATGGTCTGGTAGCTCATTTTTGAATAACTCCATCATCCATCAATAAATATTGTGACCAATTGAAGGCTTAAGATCAAGAATTTACTTGAACAAAATACTTTCTTACTGAGTGTGATACTTGAGTTTGAAAAGACTAACATACCCAAAAAAATTTATTTTTAAATATTTTATGTGTTTATACATATATATCTTTTATTTTTTTAAACAAAATGATTATTCGCGCAGGCATCGTGTGTTGTTATAATATATATGTATATATTTCAGTGGAAAACTTCACTTCTTCTGTCTTTTTTTTTTTAAAAAAAAGAAGGTAAATTGAGATTAAGTTTGAATTTTAAATTTGTGAAGAGTAAAAAAAATTAATTTTTTATTTTTTTATTACAAAAAAATCGATTAGTCAAACAATTGAAATGAGAACACTTATTGATTAGTCAAACAATAAGAGAGACAAAAAAATTGAAGTTTGCGAAATCAAAATTTTAATATATAAATTGGAACCTATTTTGACATGTTCCATTAATTATAACAGGAAGAATGAGATGGAAGAAAATGTTAATTTGAATATTTGAGAGGGTATTCTTGTGATTTTAGTCACAAATCTTAGGTTAGGAGTAATCCCGTCAAAGATAGAGTTGAGAAAGTTGGTGGAAATGGGGGAATGGATGGCCAAAATGAAAAAATAATTAAAGAGAGAAAGAAACGACCCAACTTATTCCTGCCTACTGCGTTACACCCACACCACACCTACACACTACGCATGATTCACATCACATCACATCACATCATTGGAAAAATGGTTACATATATTATCATTTATTTATTTGCTCATTCTAACCACAAACTAGCAATTAAATTTACAAGTACGAACAAAAAAATTGAGATAAATATGTATACTTTCGGTTCACATCCTTTTTTGAGGATGTTATAGAATTTTACATTGTAATAAATTTTCAGTACATGATATGAGATTATTATCTTGTTAAATTGTATATAATAATAATTTCAAACAATGTTCAAATATACTAATTACAAATGTTCAAATATACCATGGTACAAAATAATAACAAAAAAAATTTATAAAAAATAACCTCTCTTGTAGGAACCTTAAGGTCATGTTTGTTTGGGTGGACATGAGCTTGGGATTGGACTAATAGTCCAATAAAATTATTAATCCGATATTTGGTTAAACAATTAAAGTACGGATTAATTATTTTAAACTTGTCTATTAATTAAGATAGGATACATAATCCAACGAATTCGTAGTCTTAGGATTATTAGTCATGGGAATGCTAATCCAATCCGTCCAAACAAACATGGCCTAAGAAACATTGCTAATGTCACCACACTGTTAAATTGTATAAACTTCGAGGAGCTGCCGGCTTAGCGGGCAAAATTTGGGACCTAAGAATTAATCAAAGTGTGGATAAATTGGGTCGGAGACTTGGTTATAAAAATATATACATTTAGAAGAGTTCTAACCCAAGAGTCCATGAAGGAATTTTTTAACTCACTTAATCTCATATATTTATACTTTTATTTCATAAAATCTTTTTTTCTTGATTTACACTATTTTCTCAGACTCTTATGCATATTTAATATTTATATTTAATGTTGGGGGAGGAGAGAGAAGGGAAAGAACCAAGGTATAAAAAATTTTATATACAAATTAAATAATATTGATGTTATTATTTTATACTATTATATAATGTGAATATATTTTTAATTAACAACACATTAAAAATATTCTCTCTCATCTTCACAACACCTTTCCGAAAAATTATTTCTCATCTAATATAGTGATGTGAACGTTCACAACATGTGAACCTTTTTATTTTTAATTGACAACACATTAAAAATAACGTTCATTATATTTTTAATTAATAACACATTCTTATTCACAACATGTAGTGATCTGAACGTTCATAATATGTGAACATTCTCTCTCGTCTAATGTAGTGATTTGAATGTTTACATTCATATGTTTTAGTATGAATATTCACATCATGTAATTGGCAACATAATGACAAAAATTCATTTCAAATTAATGTGAATATTCATTTCAATTACATGATATGAATATTCACATCATGTAATTGACAACATAATGACAAAAATTCATTTCAAATTAATATGAATATAATGACAATCAACATCCTAATACATAAGAATTACCAAAACATAATGACAATCAACATTAAATATCAACATTAATAGGGAGCATGAGAGATTGAGGGTGTTCTGGTCTTCTTACCTCAAATAGGACCTAATAAAATAGTCAAAAAGAATATGGATTAGATGGAATACAACTCTTAGAAAGATGATTTATCAAAAAAGTTCCCATATTATATGATATAACATTGGGCTGTCATATATGATGTTTAGGGGTGTAAAAAGGGCACGGTCCAAGCCATTCGGCCTTGGGCTTGGGCAGGCTTCAGACAGTCCACAGGCTCGCAGGCCATTTTTACAACTCTAATGATGCTTTACATATGTTTAATCATATTATTTTATGAGTTTTATATGATATATGTGATGAAATCATATGAGGAGCTAATTAAATAATATAAACCTTTAATATTATATAAATAGAATTTGTAAATAAAAATTTAAAATTAAATTATATAGTCATTTATTGAAAGTAAAAAATCGATCACATTTTTTTTAATAATTGAAAATAATATTAGTACATTATTTTATATGCTTTTCTCATACATATTTTTTGATATATTTAATAATTTTGAAAAATATAACATTTCAACTGCGAGTATAAAAAAAAATTTTAGTTGAATGAAAAAATTTATGAGTTTAACTTTTAATATTTTATCCAAAAAAAGACTTATAATTTGTTTTCACTAATATGATTTTTATTTATATTTTTTTAAATTTTGCCCCACATTTTTCCATAGCACGTGATATTATTATCGTGCTGTGGGTCCATATGGGCTTTTGAAGTCTGCAGCAAACCATTGTGGAATGAAGGATTTTATTTTATTTTATTAGCACACCCTATAAATATTGGGCCTAAGAAATAGCCATTCACTCCAACCCAAATCTAGCTTTGTTTAGCTCAGGCAAATTAAAAATAAGAAAAAACAAAGCCCTGCAATTGCCTCCTCTTCCTCTTCCTCTTCCTCCTCCTCCTTGCTCGAATTTAGTAATTGAATCGGCAACGGACGGAGTGGTCGAAGAAGAAAATGGAGCGATCGATCAAACCCATCCAGCAGCAGCATCACCAAATCCCCTCCCCGGCGGCTCTGAAGCCACTATCCAAGGGCACAAAGGCGTCCGAGGCCGTGCCCCTCCCTCTCTACCTCACTAACGGCGTCTTCTTCACCTTATTCTTCTCCGTGGTTTACTACCTACTCAGCCGCTGGCGCGAGAAGATCCGCAACTCCACCCCTCTCCACCTCATCACCCTCTCCGAGATCGCCGCCATCGTTGCCTTCGTTGCTTCCTTCATCTACCTCCTCGGCTTCTTTGGCATCGGCTTTGTCCAGTCTTTGTTTCTCCGTTCTTCCCACAACGACGTCTGGGGCTCCGATGACGACCTCGACCTTCAAGAACAAGACGTTGACCAGATTCTCCTCAAGGACGACACTCGTTCCACTCCCTGCGCGGCCGCACCTCCTCCTCCTTCCGTTGTCGATTTCCCTTCAAAACCCAAGGAGGAGGCAGCAGCTTTTGAATCATCGGACGAGGAAATCATCAAGTCCGTAGTTGCTGGAACCACTCCCTCTTATGCCCTGGAGTCGAAGCTCGGGGATTGCTACAGAGCCACAGCTATTAGGCGGGAGGCATTGCAGAGGATGACTGGGAAGTCGCTTGATGGGCTGCCCTTGGATGGCTTCGACTACGAGTCAATTCTGGGGCAGTGCTGCGAGATGCCTGTAGGATATGTTCAGATCCCGGTGGGTATAGCGGGTCCTCTCTTGCTGGACGGCAAGGAGTATTCGGTTCCGATGGCCACAACAGAGGGTTGTTTGGTGGCCAGTACTAACAGGGGTTGTAAAGCCATTTACGTCTCCGGTGGGGCAAGCGTGTTGAGGGATGCTATGACCAGGGCTCCTATTGTCAGGTTCGCCTCCGCCAAGAGGGCCGCCCAATTGAAGTTCTTCATGGAAGATCCCCACAATTTCGAAACTCTGTCCCTCCATTTTAACCGGTTCGTGTTGAGTATTTTTTGTCTTTTTAAATAAATGAATTCCCTCTTCGGTTTCTTCTTGTTTGTGTTTGTATGTGTTATACTATATGAGCATTATGAGTATTCTCTAACTTATTCAGGCGCCTCGGATATGCAGGTCTAGCCGATTTGGTAGGCTACAGAACATTAAATGCGCGATTGCTGGGAAGAATCTGTACATGAGGTTCTCGTGCAGCACCGGAGACGCCATGGGAATGAACATGGTATCCAAAGGTGTACAGAACGTTTTGGATTTCCTTAAGAATGACTACTCGGACATGGATGTGATTGGCATCTCTGGTACTTAGAATATTGTTTTATAACAATCAAATAAAATACTCTCTCTCTCTTTCTCTCTTTGTGCAGCACAGCAATCGATGATTGATATGGTTTTGTTGTTGTTGTTGTAAATTTGGCAGGAAACTTCTGTTCGGACAAGAAGCCAGCTGCAGTGAACTGGATAGAAGGACGGGGTAAGTCAGTTGTTTGCGAGGTTATAATAAAGGAGGAGGTAGTGGAGAAGGTTCTAAAAACAGATGTTGCATCATTGGTGGAGCTAAACATGCTGAAGAACCTCACGGGTTCAGCCATGGCAGGAGCACTAGGGGGATTCAATGCCCATGCGAGTAACATAGTTTCAGCAATCTATATAGCCACGGGACAAGATCCGGCGCAGAACATAGAGAGTTCACACTGCATCACAATGATGGAAGCAGTGAACCAAGGGAAGGACCTTCACGTGTCGGTAACAATGCCTTGTATTGAGGTGGGGACGGTGGGAGGGGGTACCCAGTTGGCATCACAGTCGGCGTGTCTGAACCTGCTTGGGGTCAAGGGAGCAAGCAAAGAGTCAGCTGGATCAAACGCAAGGCTGTTGGCCACAATTGTAGCTGCTTCTGTTCTTGCTGGGGAGCTTTCTCTCATGTCAGCTATTGCTGCTGGACAGCTTGTCAAAAGTCACATGAAGTACAACAGATCTAACAAAGATGTTTCCAGACTTGACCACCACCAGACCACTACCCATAAATCATCGTAAATCATAAATCCTAATCCTAATCCTAATCCTAATCCTGTCAGCAATTACAATTGCCCATCTCTCTGTCTCTCTCTTCTATATTATATTTCAGGCGTTCATAACAAAAAAATAAAAAAATAAAAAAAAACAAAAAGCAAAAACAAAAAAAGAGCCACCCCCACCCACAGCACAAGCTGTTGCTTTATAAGAATAATAATTGCAGAGGTCAGCTGGTGGTACTAACAAGATGATATGCATGTATGGAGGATAAGCTGCCAACTCGAACAAAACTGTTTTGTGGTTTGTTTGTTTGTATGTTTTGTATTTGTATTACTGAGCAAGGTTGGGGGGTGGCCCGCCATTAATTCTTAGTCTTGTAATTTTTATTTATTTATTTTTCTCCTCAAAGTTCAGTCTGTTTATGTTGTACTCACAAGTCTTCTTTTGTATCTACACTTCAATAATATATTCAATCAAGGACATTTCAATTGGGATGCAAGAGTTTCAGGAGGGGTTTTGCCATGGATCTCTACCAAAGTAAGTTTTTTTTTTTGTTTTTATTTGGACAGAAAAATGTCAGTAAACGCGGCGCCCATTCCAAGATAAACGATGAATGTGATTCAACTCGCACTAATGGCCCCCAAAACTAGTTGGGAAGGGGTTGACTTTTTTATTTTTTAATTTTTTTGACTATTTTAGTCTGAATTTAAAAGTTTGATTTGGGAAGAGTTTTTTGATTTTTTAGCTTTTTTGAATTTTTTTGTGAGAGAAGAATGTAATGATTATGGGTTGGATGTGATGTTTTGTTTGTTATGGTTAAAATAGCCTATTTTGTTTTTTGTGACTAAAATAGCCAAAAAAGTCTACAAATCCACTTGCCAAACACAGGCAGAATATAAGGTATCATTATTATTATAAAATTAAAGAAAACAAAAAGGAAAGAGTCATGGGTTTTTTTTCCAAACTAAGCTCCATACTAGGTTCTGTTTGGCAAGGGTTTTTGTGATTATTTTAGTCATTAATGATAAAACATGTTATTTTAGTCATAATAAATAAAATATCACATCTAATTTATAATTATCACACTCTTCTCTTATAAAAAAAAGCTAAAAAAGTCAAAAAGTTCTTCTCAAACCAAGTTTTTTTAGCCTAGGCTAAAATAGCTAAAAAAATCAAAAAATTAAAAAGTCAACCCACTTCCCAAACGGAGGCTAAATTATTTTCTAAACTAAGTCTAGTTTGGTCAAAATTTTCAAGCTAAGTTGAAGCGTGTTTACAAAACACATTTTCAATAAATTTCTGACCCAGGCGGACAAAATCAACAAAATCATGAAGGTGTGGTTAGAAAACACGACTTTAATTAAGAAATGTTTGTTGCTATTAGCGTTTTTAGGCTTAAATAATAATGCAATTTAGAAACACGCTTTGAACAGAAAGCGTAATTTGTAACCACGCTTTTAACAGAAAGTGTGATTTATAACTACGCTTTTAACAGAAAGCTGTTATAAATTGGCCCACCCCCCTTACTTGCTACCATGCTTTTAAAGACTTCTCTTTCTTTTCCCCCAAAACCCGAACCAGTTCCTCATTTTCTCTGTTACTCTGTACTCTCTTTCTCTTTCTTTGTGGGTTGCTCTCTATTCTCTCTCTTTGTAGGTCGCTCTCTGCTCTCTATCTCTCTCTCTATGGGTCACTCTCTGCTCTCTTCTAAAGTCTGGATTGTCCTTTCAAATTGCCCATCAGTTTGCGGGTGATAAGCCATGCTAAACGTCAGAGTGGTTCCCAAAGCTTCTTGCAATTTGTTTCAGAAGTGAGACACGAAGCGGGGGTCTCTATCGGATATGATTGAAATTGGGGTGCTGTGCAAACAAATGATTTCCTTAATGTATAGAGTGACGAACCTAGAGAGGGAGTACATGATTATGATTGGTAGAAAATGCCTTGACTTTGTCAATCGATATACGATAACCCATATTGCATCATTCTTTAAGACTGATTGCAGTAGCCCTACCACGAAATCTATAGTAATGTGCTCCGATTTCCATTCGGGAATAGGGAGTGCTTGTAACATTTCTGTAGGTCTCTGATGTTCTCCTTTAACCTGTTGACAACGCAGGCATTTGGAGACATGGCTTGCTATGTCTTTCTTCATTCTTGTCCACCAGAAGTATTCCTTTAGATTGTGATACATCTTCGTATTGCCAGGGTGGATCGCAAACTTCGAGCTATGAGCTTCTACCAATATATTTTTCTTGAGTTTTGGAAGGTCGGGTACACAAATTCGATTTCAAAATTTTAGCATCTCATTGCTTATCGTAAAGTCAGGATCGGGCATGCTTCTTTGCTTCCCGTACTTTTTCTTCACAAGTTTGTCTTCACTTTGGTGGACTCTGATTTCTTTAATCAATTCGGGTTCCACAACTATGTTGGCAAGCAGTTCATTGATCTTGCGAGGAATGAGGGTACATGCCAAACTTTTGGTCGTCTTTTGACTCAATGCGTTTGCTACTACGTTAGCTTTGCCGGGATGGTAATGGATCTCTATATCATAGTCCTTCATAATTTCTAGCTATCGTCGTTGCCTCATATTCAGTTCTTTTTGTGTAAACAGATATTTGAGACTCTTGTGATCTGTGTAAATTTCGCAGGTTACTCCGTAGAGATAATGACGCCAGATTTTGAGGGCAAAGATTACTGCGGCTAATTCCAGATCATGGGTCAGGTAGTTCTTCTCATGGGTCTTTAGTTGACGTGAGACATATGCAATGACCTTCCCATTTTGCATAAGAACGCAACCCAAACCATTATATGAGGCATCATTATAAATTATGAACCATTCAATTTCTGCGGGGAGTGCTAGTATAGGAGCCGTCACGAGTCTGTTCTTTAATTCTTGGAAGCAATGTTCTTACTTGTCCGTTCATTCAAAGGGTGTGTTCTTCTGAGTTAGTTAGGTCAAGGGTGATGCTATCTTCAAGAAATCTTGCACGAAGCACTGGTAATAGCCGGCTAGACCCAAGAAGCTTCGAATCTCGGACACATTAATAGGTCGTGGCCAATCCACGATTGCTGCAACCTTTTGGGGGTCAACTGAGATGCCATCTTTGTTAATGACGTGACCGAGGAAGTGCACACTAGTGATCCAGAAATCACATTTCTTCAACTTGGCAAAAAGCTTGTGATCACATAGTGTTTGTAGAACTCTTCGCAAGTGGTGCTCATGATCTTCTGGCAATTTGGAGTATATGAGAATGTCGTCAATAAAGACAATGACAAACTCGTCAAGATAGGGTTTGAACACTCAATTCATGAGGTCCATGAAGGCCACTGGAGCATTTGTGATGCCAAATGGCATGACGAGAAACTCGTAGTGCCCGTAACGAGTTCTGAAGGCAGTCTTTTCGATGCTTTCCGTTTTGACTTTTAGTTGATGGTAACCAGAACGCAAGTCAATTTTTGAGAATACTTGGGCGCCTTGTAGTTGATCGAACAAGTCGTCAATTCGTGGTAGAGGGTACCGATTTTTGATGGTGACTTTGTTTAGCTCTTGGTAATCGATGCATAACCTCATCGTGCCATCCTTTTTCTTTACGAATAGTACTAGAGCTCCCCAAGGTGAGGTACTAGGTCGAATGAAACTTTTGTCCAGTAGTTCCTAAAGTTGAGTCTTTATCTCTTTTAATTCTATCATAGACATGCAGTAAGGAGCTTTTGAGATTGGTTGTGTACCAGGTTGGGTTTCTATGGTGAATTCGATTTCTCGGTCAACCGGGGTGTCAGGTAAGTCTTCAGGAAATACATCCGAATTCTCAAACCACAGGGATTGCATCAAGTGTGGGGGCCTCTTGTTGAGTATTGATCACATAACAGATATAACTACAACAACCTTTTCTTAGAAGTCGTTGAGCTGTCATGAAGGATATAACACATGGAGGGGGAGAGACTCCAGTTCCTTCAAAGACAAGCTCGAGTTGGTTTAGTGACCGGAAAAAGACCTTTTTGGCTTCACAATCAATAGAGGCATGGTTGGCAGCTAAGTAATCCATTTCTAAGATCACATCAAAGGTACTAATGTAGAGGGGAATCAAGTTTACGTGTAAGGTTTCTCTTTTTAAGGATACAATACAAGATTTGTACATATCAGCACTAAAGGCTGAGTTTCCAGAAGGAAAATAGACAAATAGTATGTATCCTAAGGGTTCCAGAGTCAAAGAGAATATGGGCTAAGTGACCACAAGCAGAAAATGTACCTGACATAACATTCTCAGTAACTTCTGGGTTTCCAGGCACCAGGGCAAAGGTTGTTCCTTGGCGTTTTTGGTCATTTCTCACTCCTCCAGGTACCGCTGGTTTTCAGACTGGTTCAGAGAGGCTGATTGTAGGACTGGCAAGCTTGGGACAATCTCTCAGCAAGTGGATAACTTGGCCACATCTAAAGAATGCTCCTGTGTTTCGACGGCATTGTCCCCAATGAATCCTTCCACAAGTAGAGTAAATTGGAATAGCACTACCTCTAGGATTCATAGGACCTTGATTGCTTGAATTGGTTGAACTGGTTGTGCCTGTATTTACCTTTTTAGGAGGCACGACACCGGGTCTTTTATTATCTCTTTCCCAAAATCGTTTCCTTTGGCTTGGTTCCTAGGAGCGCAAGGCTTTAATTCCTTTTTCCGCAATGTATGCTCGATCTACCATTGCCGCATAGGTTGGTAGTTTCAAAACGTCCAGCTTGTCTTTGATTTCAGCATCCAATCCTGCTTCAAATTTCTTGGCTTTTCGAGCTTCGGTGGGGATGACGTATGTCACAAATCGAGCCAGTTGCATGAACTTGCTCTCGTATTCGGCTTTGTCATGGTTCCTTGCCTTCGATGTATGAATTCCGACGCCTTTTGTTCTCACAGCGAATCTGGAAAGTATTTTTCATAGAACACCTCTAAGAATCTGGCCCAAGTCACAATATTTTCTTTCTCTAGGGTAAGTAGCCACTATTCTTGTGTATCGTCTTTGAAGGTGAAAGTGGCGAAAGTCACCTTTTGTCTTTCTGTGCAAGGTAGTGCGTGGAAAATTTTCTCCATATCTCTGACCCAAGCTTCTGCCACTAGTGGGTTTGTACTGCCAGTGAATATGGTAGGTTTTAAGTCCTGGAACTGTTTTATTGTAGGTGGTTCTTCTCATCGTTCAGGCAATCTACTATTAATGTTGGTTTGTAGGGTTCGCAAAAAACTAGTAACTACTCTTTCCATGATTTGCTCCATTGGATCAGTACCACTGACCGATGATCTGGTTCCATTTCCATCATTAGCCATTACTATAAGGTGAAAATGGTTAGTGAACTCCTTTTTTTTTTCATTTTTTGAATCACTTAGTATACATTTAATTATCTATGGTTCACAAGATACTATACCAGTACATATCACGATATCATATCTGTGATTCATAACAGTACTTATGTCATTTTTACTTATGCAAAAGAAAACATATTAGTACAATGTACTTAAA